TTCCTGCTGCAGCAGCTCCTCTTTTTATAAGCTGACATTCACGTAGCTGTGCAGAGCACTGGGCTGGAGAGTCGAGTCAGGTTAAAACTAAATCAATTAAGCAAACTGATTAGCGTTAACCCAGCTCTGCTCCCCTGGTGAGGTTTGCCGTGAAGCACAAAGAAAGGGATAGAGCCGGGTTGCGTTGCGGCAGGGGGGGGCTGCCCTGCCTCTCTCTGGCTGAGGTCTTGTGTTGCAGTGTTCTCCCCGATATTTATTCCCTGGAAGAGCAAAGAGGCTAAAAGCCGGTACAATAAAGAGATAACTCTCTCTGCTTCCTACTGGCTAGATTGGGATGTGGCAATTTGAGGAGTAAGAATTGCTTGCCTGTTTTTAACCCAGGTATGTGCAAGACTAAGCACTGGCCGGTAGATGTCACTGTGAACGCAGGAACCGCAGGCTGTCTCTGCAGAGCTGCTGTCTCGGCAGGCCTGCCTTGTAGCCTGCTCCTGGGCAGTGGGGCAGGAGGATCTCCTGACATAAAACACTTGTCATGGTATTTGTGGAGAGCGAAAATTGGGTGGAACAGGCATGCTTGCCAAGCTCCGTCAGAAAGATGGCAAAAGCTCAGCTGGAGAAAGCTTCCAGCCTTTGTAACGGAGACCCGGCCTGTCACGCAGATCTAGTCCCTTCTTTTGTGGGTGTCTGAAGACTAGTTTGAACTCAGTATTGCCTGGCCTGTCGCTGTGTGATGCGTCTCTCTCCGAAGGAGACCTAGGAGCATTCACTGATTGCACTGTCAGTGCCGACTTGGCAAGACTGGTCTTGGAGAACTGTTCTGCGCGTCCTGGTGCAGAGCTGAAGGGCTATTAACCTAGCTCTGGGTTTGCCATGAATCACAGAAGTGACTGTACTGACTACTTCTAAATAAATTATTGTCCCTTTCCCTCAGCCTCTGCTGGCTGCTTTATCTTGATCTGTGAAGTATCTGACACTTAATGTTTGTTCCTCTATTCCCAGGTGTTTCTCTTTGTCGGATCTGATGCGTTTAACTGCTGTACGTTCCTCTCAAGTACCTATTTCCTAGCAGGGACTCAGGATGGGAACATATATCAGCTGGATGTGAGAAACACAAAGTGAGTGTCTGGGGCTGGGAGCGTTTAAACAGCGACTCTCTTTTTGCTGAGGAAGGGAGCTGGTTTGAGGGTGCTGGCAGATGATCCCTCTTCTGAGGAGTGGATACAGCCCAAGCGGTGGCACTACAAGCTTTTGAGCCTCTGGCAGCCATTGCCTTCTCTTGGGGAGCACTGAAGAAGGGATACTGTTGGTGTTAGTGATCTGATGGGATGTTCTTTGTGAAGTTCTTCCTAAAGGACTTTAGGTTCTACGCAGGTTTCCAAGTTAATGAAAAACTCTTCAGTCTTGACCTGTGCTGAGGAGTTGGCATAGCTTTACCTCTCAAATTACTGTGTTTTGGAAAAATGTTTTATATTTTTAAATATATTTAATATATGTGAGCAGCAGCACTCTTCCCGTGAAATGCACAGCCTCTTCTCCTTCACCAGTGAGACATAAGTGTCTTTGTAGGATCTTACCGTTTGTGGTGATCGTCATCCTGGCATGGGATTGCTGAGCTGTTGCTGAGGGCAGGAGCTGGTCTAACTTGGTTTCTAGCAGTGTCAAAGGCTAGTGTTCGAAGGTGAGAGGGATCCAGGTGGTGCTTTTGGGTGGGTGCCAGAGAGGCTGGTATAAAGTCTGCAAAAAATCTTTCATGTTGGATAAGTGTCAAGCTTACTTCTGTGTTTTGGCAGCAGTAATCCCTGTCTGTAATTCTGTGTTGAGGTACACTGCCGTTTACCTTCTAACTAACTCTTTGCTCCCCTTTTTATCCCTTGGCAGCATCTGTGGGGAAACCAGTGCTGACTTCCATCTGCTTCTAGAGGACAAAAGACTGTTCACTAACTAGTGATCAAGTTCCCGTCTCCTATATGTTCTCCTTATGTATCTTTTAACCACAAGTTTGTGGTTCTTTTTTCAGTGTTCACGGATTGGGATGGTCCCTGACTATTGACCATAATACTTTTTGCTTGTTTTTACTCCTCTTTCTAGCACTCCCATCCAGGTCATTCACAGATCAGGAGCACCAGTGCTTTCTCTGCTCCCTTACCAAGATGGATTTATTGCTGGCCAAGGTAACTCAAGTGCTTTGTTGTGGCAGTAGAATTTATATAATTGAATCAAGTAGTTTTCTGTTCTTTGTGTGTTGCCCACTTGTGTACAAGCAGTGGCTGGCTGTCCAGGCAGTTAGAGAGCTGAACAGTGTCTGTGGCAAAGAAATGACACAGTAGAAGCTGTATTACATAGATGCTTTTTTGCCTTGCATTTTTGTGTTGATGCTCCCCCGAAATAGGGCCTCCGAGGTGCTTCCCAACCTTTTGCCATCTCACTGATGTCCTCACAGTGTGCTTCCCCTTTCCCAGGGCCTCCGTAGCCTCTGAACAGGCAGATCTGCTGTGCCTGTCACTTTTGTAATGAGACCGTGGCTTGTTGCACTAGTTGGCTGATGTTCCTTCCTTGCTTGGCAACTCTTCCTCTTCTGTAGGTGATGGAACCTGTTTTATCGTTCAGCAAGACCTCGATTACGTCATCGATCTCACAGAAGCAGACTGTGACCCTGTGTACAAGGTAAGGAAGAGGATGGGTCAACTTGGAGGACGTAGGGAAAGGTGATGCCAGGTAGCAGGCAGCTGCCTTTATGTGGGGATTTGTCAGCCCACAGAACTGGCTCATTCGCACAGTTGACTTTTAAGCTTATTTTCTCCAGTTGAATAGTCTTAATATTTTGCATAAACAAATCCTGTCAGCATCTCTCTGCGGTACGTTAGCATAATCTCCATCATGCAGGGGTAAAACTGAAGCAGCCGAGTAACTTGGTTGTTGGAGTAGATCTGGCAGAGCTGCGTTTCCTGCCTCTGTAAAGAGACCGAAATTAATCTGTGCTTGGAAGATCAGCTGGGTGAAAAACAGCAGTCAGCTGCACGGTGCTGCCTGTTGCCTTTTACTCCCTGGTGACTTGAGACCAGAAAATACTTTTGCTGTTCTGTTTTCAGAAACGCTGCTGAATGCGCACAGGTCTGGCAGAATGACCTGGGTTCCCTGGGCCGTTCTGGAAGATGAGCTCTTGTTTTTAACCAATTTCCATTCCACAATCCAGTTCTCCCTCTCTTAGCCAATACAAACCCCTCAATTTTAACACCGAGCTTTGCTCCGAGGCTAAAACTTGACCTACAGAATTGAGTGAGGTGTGAGCAAAACCCAGTCATCTTCCTCCTTTCAGATCCAACAGAAATCCTCTGTTCTGTGAGCCCTCCCCTGCCCACCGTTGAGATGACAGTGAGAACTTGAACTGTCCTTTAAAACTCGCTAATACTCTTTCAGGAGACGCTCGCCTGCTGTTCCCTCCGTAAGAGAAGTCCCGAGAGATTCTGGTCTCTGCAGATTAATGCCAGAATCGCTTGTCGTGACTGCTCTAGTGTTTAAGGCCGAAGAAGAGAGTTTGCTGCTGCCAGATGGCAGTGACTTGGTATTAATGGAAGAGGCTTGTTTTGAGAGCAAAACTTTAAGTCTCTGCCCGTCTCCAGGCAGCACACAGGGTCTCCTTAGAGAAACTGCAAGGGTGTTTCCTTTCTCCCCTTGTCCCAGGAGAAGGGAACGTGCTTAAATGCTGCTTTTATTCTTTTTATTTCCTCCCCCCCGTTTTAGGTATCTTATTGGGAGAAGCAGATTTACACGTGCTGCAGAGACGGGATGGTGAGGAGATACCAACTTTCCGACCTTTGAAGGTTTGGATCGGCTGAATATCCGAGAGAAGCGTTGGAACTGCCGTCCAGGGAAATAAGCTTGGAAGAGCTTTGTTTGAGATATGTATAAAGAAGCGTCTTGAGCTTATCGTAGTGACCAGGCTGTATATAAAGCTTGTGGCGAGGGGTGATGTTTCTTGCCGACGACGTTGATGTAGAGGGGGTCGGCTTTCCCTTTGGTAAGCGGCTCCAAGGTGTTGAGAGAGGATCTTGCACCATCTGCTGTATAATTACAGGTTGTTTGCTTTTCTACTGTTCTCTCTGTAACTGCTTTTTGTAGGGGGTGGTGGGGGGAGAATCAGCTGGGGCTGCTGAAGGGGACTGTGCAGCCGCGTTGCCTGGAATAAAGCAATCGCTCTTTGGGGCAGCGTGGGTGTGGATTTTTGGGCTTGGGGCTGGCTTGTTTGGGTGTTTTTTTTTTTTTTTTAAATGTAAGGTTCAGGCTTATTACTACCAACATGGGAATCTTTCTTAGATTGGGATAAATACTGCAGACTTCATCAGCAGGTGTACCTAGGTGGAATGTTAATGTTTAGAAGCAAAACCGCTGGTGTCTTTTGTCCTTTTTTTCTCTTTAAGATGTAGCCTAACTTGTCTTTGTACAGTTAGAGAGCTTGAGAAATAACAGGTTAAAAGACTGATGCTTTACTGGTCTGCTACTTCTGTCAAAATGTTGATTTCACGGTTTAAGCAGTATCAAATGCATTGTGAGAACATAAGACATGCCCTATTGGGTGAGACCAGTGGTGGTTCTAGCGCAGTGTCCTGTCTCCAGCAGCAGGAGATGCTATTTAGGAAATGCTGGTCAATCTGGTGACTTTGGCAGTCTG